GCAGTGTAATAATATTTAACAACCCCTCACTTTTGCAGAATGTTTTACTAACGGCGTTGGTGTTCTGCTTTCCTCTAATTAAGTCTAATTACTTCCTCCTTCCATAGTAGGGTTTTCCCCAACTGATTTTGAAATAGTTGCTCTTCTGTATCACTTTATTTTAAAGGAAGAAAGTCACTCTTTCATAACATCAGGTCTCCCTGGTCTCTCTGTGAACACTCGTTTAATTTTTATAGCACGAAAAGGCATGCTTTAATCCTTCTTATCTTGCTTTGGATACCTTGCTCTAAAGACTTGTGATATCTAAAAGATACCCAGACTATCTTTTGCATGATCAGCTAAAGGTCTGCTGGAGCGGCTGGGGGAAACACACAAAGATTTGGGCCCTTCCACATTTTTTACTGAAGAAAACTATCATTAACTGAAATAGCACTGACACTGAATATGCAAATCACAAGGCTGCCCTACTCTTTAATGTGGCAAGAATCTCATTATTTTATAGACACTGTTACACAGTGAACCTCAGACACACTCTTCAGAAATTCAGCAGCAACTCAAAGCTAGGAAATAAGTTTAAGATTTAGCAGAGTAAAAAAAAGTAGTTCTAGGCCTCCTTCAATTCCTCTCACCTTGAGCAGCTCTGTCCCCTTCCTGTGAATGCTCCAAGTGTTCCAGTGCATGTCTAAAAAAATACTAAAATCTGTACTTAACATTTTAGTAGACCTTCAATGACAGATAATGTGTTAACATTCAGGATTAAATGACTGCATAATAATGAGTGACAAATTTACAAGCCTTCAGGAATTTCATGATCTAGAAAGAATGATGTCCAGAATTAATGGCAGTTTGATCTGAATTGTGAAGATCTAAATGTTAAAGCACCAAGGATTTAGGCACTTTAGACACAGGCAGCCTTTCTTGGGGGGGAACTAGCCCCCAAGGCCCCTAAAGTGTTCTGAAGGGAGCATTACACATCATGTCATGTTCATCTGAAATTATCTAATCAATTCAGCAGCAAAGAATATCTAACTTATAAATATACATTTTATAAAAAGGCAAAAGAGGTTAGAGCATAAAAGGATGCAATGTTTCTAAACTAAGTACTGTATAACATATCTTCACCTATTGCTTGAGGTCTCTAACCCTTTTTTTATTGCACGTCTGTAGCATATGCTTGATTCAAACTGCTCCAGACAGGAGCTTATTAAACGTACTTATCCATTAACAGAACTATGAACATCACACAATGCACAAGTCTTTAGAGCAAGGTATCCAAAACAAGTACAATTAAAGCATGCCTTTTCATGCTATAAAGCTATTCGTTCCCCAGAATTATTTTGCAACTTGACTTGATTGTTATAAAATATGGAAGAAAAGGGCAAAGGAAAAAAACAAACCAATGTTCAGAAAGCAACATTGTAAAATCATGTTCAATTTCTGAGATGTGAAATAATTGATAATACACCATAAAGCATTTTCCATATATAACAGTTTATTCATGCCAGAGGACAGATCCAGTTGTAACTAATCAGTGGAAAAGCTTAAAGCTTAATGCAGTAGCTGCAGAGAATTCAAACAGGGACTGTAATTAAAGAAAAAACAAAGCACCAACAACAACTAGGAAAGTGCTTCCTACGAAAACAACAACAGTAATTTCCATTTCTAATTGCCTTCTATGATGATCACAAGTGTCTTTACAACAGGACAGCAATTAGCATTTCCCAATGGTTAAAACCAATGAGCAAGATATTGTGCTTAAAAAAAAAAAAAATCACACAAAAGTTACAAATAAAGCACTGAGTAGGAAATTTGTCACATAAAAGGATAAACAGAAGCAGCCTGACTTGAAGTACCTACATTCAGCTAGAAGCAGTATCTGTTCTCAGAAAATACAAACTGGGACTGGTTTCATCAAACCTATGAACTTTAAAGCCAAGCCACAGGCCGTGTAGGCATTTCAGTGGGCTCTTACGGCAACTGACAGCAACTGGAGTTATGATAGTGGTAACCCGCCAACTACTGAGAATTGTTAGATTCAACCTTCAACAGCTGCTAAACTTCATACAGGTTTTATCCTTTCAGTTTATAAGTAGGTTTAAGCTCAAAATGAAGGTGTTAGTCAAAACAAAACAAGTGTCCACATAAGGCTTAGCTCTAGTGAATTAGCTTCAAATCAGTCTTAACCTAAAGAAGGTCTATAGCTAATTTAGCCTTTAACATTATCGTAGACTCATAGAATAGTTAGGGTTGGAAAGGACCTTAAGATCATCAAGTTCCAACCCCCCTGCCATGGGCAGGGACACCTCATTCTAAACCATATTACCCAAGGCCTCGTCCAATCTAGCCTTGAACACTGCCAGGGATGGAGCATTCACAACCTCCCTGGGCAACCTATTCCAGTGCCTCACCACCCTTACAGGAAAGAATTTCCTCCTTATATCCAATCTAAACTTCCGCTGTTTAAGTTTTAACCCATTACCCCTTGTCCTGTCACTACAGTTCCTAATGAAAAGTCCCTCCCCAGCATCCCTATAGGCCCCCTTCAGATACTGGAAGGCTGCTATCAGGTCTCCACACAGCCTTCTCCAGGCTGAACAGCCCCAACTTTCTCAGCCGATCTTCATATGGGAGGTGCTCCAGTCCCCTGACCATTCTCGTGGCCCTTCTCTGGACTTGTTCCAACAGTTCCATGTCCTTTTTTTGTTGAGGACACCAGAACTGCACACAATACTCCAAGTGAGGTCTCACAAGAGCAGAGTAGAGGGGCAGGATCACCTCCTTTTGATGCAGCCCAGCACACGGTTGGCTTTCTGGGCTGCAAGCGCACACTGCTGGCTCAGGTTAAGTTTCTCATCCACCAGCACCCCCAAGTCCTTCTCTGCAGGGCTGCTCTGAATCTCTTCTCTGCCCAGCCTGTAGCTGTGTCTGGGATTGCTCCGACCCAGGTGTAGGACCTTGCACTTGGCATGGTTAAACTTCATGAGGTTGGCATCAGCCCACCTCACAAGCGTGTCAAGGTCCCTGTGGATGGCATTCTTTCCCTCCAGTGCATCAACTGAACCAAGCAAATAGTATGAAGAATTCCCCTTTGGCTAGAAAAGATGGATATCAGCCAACTCCCAATGCACCCTGTACCCAGTTATACCTGTCCAAATGCCTTTGTACTGAAAAGCAACTGCACATAAGGCTGGTCAGTACAAATGACCACCTTACCAGTTATTGCATCCTCTTCAGATGAAAAACCCTCTATAAGTATTCCTACTATGATGTTGTTGAGGGATGGAGGATGACAACCTGCAGCACAAGATCAGCAGAGATGCAGAAGGGAGCTAAACCCAGCTGCTAAATGACTGTAGGCCCTTAGAGGCTCCAGGAATGATGGGCTTGACAACAGGCATTTTGTTTAGTGCTAACACCAGATACAGGGGGGAGAGAGGAGGGAGGAAGTGAAACAGTAAGCCCATACAACAAAGTTTTAATTTAATTTCTGCTAGCATATCACTGGCGTGCAGTTCAGGCTATGCCTGGTAAGAATAAATCAATACTATTTTCCTTTAGTGTTTTGTGAATAAATCACTCTAGAAAATACTCTGACCTTGTATCATCCGTTTCTGTTTTATGAGAAGTAAGCTGCTGTCCTTAGGCAATGGCAAAAGTATAAAAGCTGGTAGAACATCCCAAGAGGAAATGAAAGCGCCTGAATAACAATGGACAAAACGTTAAAACCCTGCCCTGACTTGATTAACTTGAAATAAGATAGCCCCAACCCAAAGCGGATAACTTTTTTTCTAGGCTTTTGGGATGCTCAGACCTGTGTCTTCACTTTAGGTTCAGAACATGAAAGTTCTCAAGGATCCAAATTGGCAAACTGTTTCTTCCCATAATAAAAGACTTTGGTATTTGAACCATGTAATAGAGAACTCTTAGAATCTCACTGGGTCAGGCAGTGACACACATGCACAAAAAGTTCTCAGAGATGTAGCAAATTGTAAATTCTCTGCTAGTTCTAGTCAAACTCTGAGAAGTTTAGTGAAATGCAGGTGCAACACACACATCACATAATAAGGTGCCGATCACAGCGATATGTTTGTGTCTAAGAGAGATTTCCACAAAAATGTCACCTCTACTCAGTAGCTGTCACAAAGCCGACTGAGTAGGGGCAGGAGTTATTAGGAAAGAATAAATCTGTGGTTTCCCACACCTTATGAACTCTGCTTTTGTGGTTCCCACACCTCATTTAAGAAGGATGTTGAAATGCAGAAGACGCAGAGAATCACCACAAGAACCACCTACAGGCACGAAACAATGTCAGTATGGGGAACATTTAGAAAGATGAGGATTCTTCAGACTGCATATCAGAACTGAAGGGGCAGTACTGGACCTGTACTATAGTGACAACAGGACATGATGCTCTCCATCTGTTCCAGTACAAGAACTAGAAGGCATCAAATACTGCTAGGAAGAACCAGGTTGAAGCCAAACAAAAGCAGGTGCTTCTTCACACAGACAAGGCTGGGCTGTGAAACTCCCAAGTATAAGATGCTGTAGACACCAGCAGTTTATTGGAGTTCAGAATACAGATGGAAACATTAATGGAAGAAAAGTTCATCAATAGCTGCCAAAAAATAAAAAAACCCAACACGTCACAAACACCCAAATACACACACAAAAAACAACCCCACAAGCAAAACACAGAAACCAACTATTCTGACTCTGACTAAGAAGTCTCTAAGTCATAAAGATGCTTAGGGAACTATCCTAGGATAACATCGCTATCTGTTTAAGAACTGTTAAATTCTTCCCCAAATGAAGGCTGCTGTCAATACAAGATAGAAACCTAGAAAGTCCTTGAACTGTACTGTATCCATTCTTGTGTAGGCATCTTTCTTTTTAGATAATAGACCCTTTCTAAACATAAGCATAATTTTCAATGCAATTGCCTGTAAATTAATTTCATAATGCTTCACTCACCCTCTTGCCTCCCCTCTCTCTCTTTTCAGATTAAAGAAAATCCAGATGGGGTGCAGATGCTGCAAAATGTTACAAAGGTACAATCAAACAAGGTTTGCTTAGACCCAATAAAAGAAATGTATTAAAAGATGTGTCTGTACTCCCCTATACCTGTTGCTTAAATTAAGCCTATTTATTAAGTTGGGGTTTTCCTCCGGATTTACAGTACCTTTACAGTCTTGCCAGAGCATAGGCATACTGATGTCCTTTGAATGTCATTTTGATTTACTGTAATTCAGGTTCTTTTGCTATCATTCCTATCCCACAGAAAAGCTGTGTGGCATCAAAAATTTATCGTAAGCAAAGCTTTTTGTCATTTAGGTAGCACGAGCACCCTTCACTTCAGTAGAACAGGGAGCACAGACTGTCAGATCTCCCTGTTTCCTAAACAATGGAAATTAAATAAAGATCCTTCCTTCCATCATAGCTTTTAAATGTAATTAATTGTGTGAACAATGCCCACATTAAAAGCATCTCTTGAGAGGAAGACTAGCTAGTTTTTAGAAGAACAAAAACCACTTGAAGGTTACTTCTTCCCTTGGCCACATCTCTGTGGGAAAAGTGAAATGGGAAGGTAAACTGGTGCTATGCAACACAGAGGGAGGACAAAGAAAAGAGAGAGGCTCTGGAAGAAATAAGGAAAATATGGAGCAAGAGGAAAGCTTAAGAAAAGGCCAGGTTGGACGAAACCTTGGGTGTGATGGTTTAGTGTGAGGTGTCCCTGCCCATGGCAGGGGGGTTGGAACTAGATGACCTTAAGGTCCTTTCCAACCCGCACTATTCTATGATTCCAAAAGAAAGAAGAGGGAAAAACGGGGGGGGCGGGGGAGGGGGGGGAGAAGAAAAAAAATACTAGAAAAGAGCAAAATAGTAACACTTAAAAACAAGAACACCAGGGAAAAAATGGGGCGTATCTTAGCAACAACATGAAGACATATCAATGAACAATCTATGACTACTACTCATTGGCTAATCAACAATCAACAGCACCCCCCCTTGAGAAAATAAAGCTGAAAACATACAACCACCAGCGCATAGCTCTCAACCTCCTCATGCTCCTGGTGAATCTTACTACGGGGGTTAGTTATAATCAGTCCCAGGATAGAGCAGCACAGTTCAGCATTGCCATTTGGTCTAGCTCATGCTCAGGATCTCAGGTAAAGTTTAGTGACAGCAGTTACTTGAGGTCTCCAGCTTAAAAATTAAGCTTAATTCTTTTTCTAATCAGATTGATTAACAGCATAATTAACATTTCCTTCGTAAATTTTCTCCAGCTACATTTTTGATCCAGAAGAAGTACAATCACCTAGACACATTCATGAAGTAAGCAGCTATAAACACAATGAGCAATTCAGCAATAAATCCAAAGAGAACACTGAAATTCAAGAAAATAAAAATGAACTCCAGAAGGATGAGCTGAATGGAACAGAAAACAAAAGTCAGATAAATAACAGAAAAGAAACTCTCTGGAACCATGGAAGCAATGATTTTCAAGAGGATGGCCTTGTGAAGTGTGTTGCAAAGCTTGATGTTGCAGTCAATGGTGGCAGCTCCTGTGCTGGAGTGCACTCTGTGGTCAACCCCAACACAAACCCAGTGAAAGAGGCCAGTGAACAGGGAACCGTGAGCCAGTCAGAGGCTTCTTCAGCCAATAGAGACTTTTACACCAAATCAAACAGGTCTGGACAAGAACGTGACCCAGAGGTGGGCTGGCAGAGGAAGGCAACATGCAATGAGTCAAACAGTATTCAAGATGAGAACTCCCAGTCTGCAAAAGACATCTTTCTTAAAGGAAGAGCAATACTGGAGACACAAAACAATGCCATACAACTGCCAGATATTAATTACCCCCAAAATCACAGTCAAACCAGGAACTATGTTGAAAAAGACAGCTTTTTAGTCTATTATGCACACTCAGACCAAAAGACTGGGCCTTCGGCAGTGCAGGACCAGGACATTTGTGTAACCCCATCTCCACCTACGAAGAGCAGTATTGGACCTTTTAAAACTGACTCCACAAGTTTGAGTGTGGGCATTATGGGTGGTATCACTGCCGTGGCTGTTACCAGAGTAGCACAGGCACCCACACACCCCAACCATAAAGACATCAAGGGAGAAATGGAAGAGGAAGATGCAGAAGTTGCAGCAGCTCTGGCTGCACTGGAAGCTGCAACTGCAGGGGAAGACCTGGATGATGATGAGTAGTAGATGAAGGTTTATTTCTCATACACTGGGTAAGATCCAGATTTTATTTCTGGATCTATATATCACACGTATAGCACATGTGGACAACTGTTATGACAAGCACATATAAAAGGAGTTTGGACTAAACCTCTGTCCCTTCAGCTGTTTTGTACAGCTTTTAATTTGTACTGCCTGGAAGCACTCCTTTGGCTAATAGCAATACTAACACATTTATATGGCACCAGCTGAGGGGGAAAGTGTCATTTCTTTAGCACAGGATATTCTGCTGTATACCCACCTCACCTGGACTCATGCAAAACCCTTTGGTTTTGACCCTCAGGAGGGTCTGTGCATACTGCGTGTTCCAGGTTCAGAAGAATTCCATTATTTAAAACAGAACTATAGAAGCCATGGAGTTAGAAAACAGAACAAACAAAAAAAAAAAAAAAAAAAACAAAAACAAACCAAACCAAACAAACAACAAACAAAAAAAAACAACCAAAACCTGACCCAGAATTCCATGAACTAATGATGTATGAAATAGAGAAGGACAGTTCCAGTTCAGATTAAGCCTAAATCCGTGCATGTACAGCTGGCATTATAATAACCTCATCTCTTCCCTTGCACATCTCCTGGACTTAGTTTGATACCCCAAGTGACCTGCTTCAGTTCACTAAGAGAGCAGAAGCCTAGCCAAATCCAAGAAAGTGGGTAACTTTGTGTTGGTTTAACGAGCTGAAGTAGCTCACATAAAAACTGAGGTGCTGGAGAGGGATCAAAACTCAGTCTTAACTGTTTGGATAGATTAAAACCATGGTAAAACTACAGCCCAAGACTTCTCAATTCTGCTAAATTTTCCAGGCACACATCACTTGCCTTAACAATACAGTTTGCAAACAGGCTGTGTCTTATAAACATCCCCAGCAAGATGTGTTTTGTTTATATACAAACAGTGTGGACCCCTCCCTGCCTCTGCTGTAGTCCTTAAAAATTAGAGCAGGAAAGCGATTGAGCTTCCAAACTGAATTAAGCATAAGACCTGAAAATACCAGCTGCGTTCCTGGAGCATTTACCCTCCCTGTGATGTCAGATTACTACACTGATCTTCCATGTGAGGGGGGGAGGAAAAAATTAGAGACAGGTGCTGATTCATCAAAAGTTGGATCTTAATGGTTAAAAGTGCTTGACATTTTATACTGAAATGTGGTTTCTGTTATAAATTCTTAATAAATTGGTTTTTATCATATAAAAAATTATCTGGCAAGTTTTGTGCTTTATGTGTTTTCTGATCACAGTTACATGAAAGAAGTACTATTACATATAGCCCTCATTAGATACATGGAAAGCACCAACTGTGTATTTGCCAACAGCATATGCTGAATTCTAGTCAACCATTAACATACACACAAAGATCAGAATATTAGAGGTGGGGTTTAAGTAATGTATAGGTATTGAAATTATTTCTGCTTAAATGCAGATTCTGTTTAAACTGATCAAATGAAGATTCCAATTCCTCAAAATATTAATGATGCCCCTATGAGCAATTAAAAAAAGTCTCAGCTTCAAGAGACTATCTTGAAGCTCTTGTGTTTCTATTCAGTTACAGATGAAAGTCACAACATCGCATCTGTAGAATAAAACAGCTTTATATATTTATAAAATATTGTAGTACTGTTGATTTCTCTACTGCTTTCCTCCTTTAAAAGGCCCTTCTAAGCATTTTCCTAAGTCATACAAGTTTTATGTACACATTCATGTATAAAAAATTACTATAATACTGAATGACAGTGAAAAACCACTTGCACGCTGCATATTATTAGTTATGGTTATGACAGCACATGGCATATGTCTGCTTTTATGTTGTGAGGGCCCTGAGAGCATCACCAGGCCTGGCTGCTCCTGCCCACATCCTCAGGACCCCATGTCAATAGCCTCTGGGAAGCATCTGACCCTGCCCAGCTCCCCACAGCCTGGCCATAGGTCCTGAGGTCCTGCTGAGCTGGGGCTACCTGCAGGCTGACAGCCTGGCCAAGCCTCAGCCTGGCCCCACTGGAGATGCCTTATGCCTGGAGCTGGGTTGCCCCAGTGTCCCCTGAGGGCCCTGCTCCCCACTGGGGTGGCAGGACAGGTCTGACTGTGAGGTCCAGCCCAGCTGCTCCCCACATCCCAGGCCCAGGGATCTGCCAGCCCCTGCTGCACCATGACATGAAGCATGAGAAAGGATTTAAGTAAAAAAAAAATAAAATAAAAAAAAAAATTAAAGAAATGCAAAAACATTCAAGGAAACTTACCCAATTTTTCAATATCGACTGAACTACAACCTGCACTTTAAGTGCAAATCACAGCAAGTTTTCATCTTGCTCCGAGGAATTAAAGCACACTAGAGGTGATCATCTTGTCAAACCCAACCAGTGTCTGGACACTCCAAACCAAGCATCTCTTCTACGGGCAACTGCCCGCAATTGTGGACCACCAGACTTAAATTCCACACAAGAGATCAGCTCGGCCACAAACCCTGCACTTCTTGCAGCCCAAGTTTTCATTGTTTTTAATACAAGAAAGGCAAACTACTGCAAAGCAAGTATATCTGCTGTGCTGGAAATAACTGGTCAACGCTTCACTTAACCAAAGAAAAAGTTAATCAATCAGGCATATGCATAACTCAAATCTACAGAATAAGGAAAGTTTCCATAAAATAAACCTATGAGGTATCCCCAGCATTCAGCTGTCTCTTACTGTTATCTAAAAGTGCCTTGTGAAGGATTTGGTTTGTTTTTTTTTTCCTTCTAAACATATATATATGTTTTTTATATTTATGTATGTTTTTGTACCCCTTCAACTCTACCATGCCACAGATGAGAGTCAGGAGTGACTTCTTAGCCATTTCTGAGACTGCAGTACACTTTTCACAATAAATGTGAAAATCAATTATTTCAGAAAGAATTTTTAAATACCGAAAATCAGTTTTTAAATAATTATGTGAGAACCAGATCTTGCTCAGTGTCCTCAGAGGATCCAAAGAAACACACACACTGCTAGCTTGAACAATCGTTTTGCTCATAAAATTGTGAGAGTAAAATTTAATATCTTGAGAAAACAGAGAAAGCCACAGGAGAAAGTCACAGGAATCAAAAGTAAACTGTGTATTTTAAGACTTCTCTCAAAATGACACAGTTTGATACCACTTTCTCTTCACCCCAATCACCCTAACTTCAGATATCAATTGTGTTTATTATATTCAGAGGCCTTATGAAGTAGAGTTTAAATGTTTCAGTTTTCCTTCAATACAAAAGGAAATAATGAGTGAGTTGGTTGGCCAATATTTCTATATTTGATGTAATTCTATATAGGTGAGGGTGAAGACATATGCAGCATTAAATAACAGGCAACAGGATGGGAAACTATTATAAGAGCTGGTATTTCTAGGAAACATTTTGCTTCTTGGCAGCTCATGTTTTACTCATTATTCTCCAAAACTAGTAACACAGGTTAAAAGAAAACGGTACATTTTCCACATATAAGCAAAGAGCGATGGAGTGAGCTTCGCACTTTCTCATTTAACAGTGGGTCACCTCCAGATCATGAAAAGTATTTCAGATCACTGCAGGGATTTGGGATATGACAACAGGGGTAGAAGACAGTCCACCTGACTCAAGGAAGCTAATTATTTCCTAGAAAAAACATTATGGGGGATGTTTGTTTACAGAGTAACAGCAGAACCTGAAATTTCATCCTGCAGAATTTTTCAGTTCAGTGAAGAAAACCCAGACAAGAAAGCAGGAACCTGGAAATAGATAAATTCTACAAAAAAAATTTTTCTTCCCTTTAAAGAATAAAGGCAATCGCCTTGGCAAGTGTTGCTATGGAGATTTCCCATTAAAAATTAAAATCCAGAAATAGAAAGTCTATTATATTCCTAAATACTTCAGACTTGATTGCTTTAGAGTAATCTAGCAATACCATTTTTACCATTTAAATGATGAAACAAGAAACACTTATTCAAAAAAAAAACTTGACCTTACACTGCATTTGTAGTTTCAATATCCTAAATGTGATTTAATTTTCCAGAAGATTAATTCTTGCCAATGTATAATATTTTGCTAAGTGAGAATAAAGTATCTCAAAATTTAAGGCCTGTGCATGTGGTATTTCATATATTTATCCCAACACTTATATTGCATAGGTTAATTACACTGAAACGATGAATTCTAATAGATTATCTTTAATTGTGGTATCTCTCCTTGCATGTAGATGGAAACTGGAATCCATCTAAACTGCACAAAAGCATCATTTCAAAATTAAACACCTTAGAACCTCTTTAACATGCTGAATGCACAAGCAAGTAAATTTATCAAAGTCATTCTACATTAAAAAACAATTTAAAAGAAGTTCCATCAACAGAATTGTTTCAGACATTGTGTATTTCTAGGTTTTAGAACACCTGTTTAACTGTTAGAACAGATAAAGACTTTTTAATTGGTCTTTGCAATACAACAGCCCTTACCACCTTTGAAATCAAAGCAGAAACTCCTCAGTTCCTTCCCTGGCCAGGCTTTCCAAATTTCATGCATTTACATACACAGAGACCTCAGTCTCAGGACTCCCTTCTCCATTAACAATTTCACTTGACATCTCAGGAAGGTTTGGTTTTAAACTTTCCTTTATTTTGAACCTTCACAAGCATTTTCTAAACTTCAGATCAGGTAATCCTGGAACTGAACTAGTTGGATAAACACAGAACAGGAAATACTGTCCACACCTACAAATAAGAGCACTACTGACTGATCACTTCTGCAAATTCTGTCCTGCCTGCTTTGGGCCATTTTCATTTTAAACCATGAGCTGTTGACATTCTGTATGAAGCTAAATGTGCATCATGGATTCTATCAGAGATTGAAGTAGATTATAGTAATTTTATGTGTTAACATAGTCATGACTTTAAAACTTATAGCTAAATAAAATTTTAACGTTGTTAACATGGTTAAATCCAATTTTGTGACAGAACTTTACGAGACAAGATTTACTCTTCAGCTCTGCCTCTTTTACTCAGAGAAAAACAGTATTCCCTTGTACAACTTAATTCAGAAAACAGGATTCTGACAATGAAGCAGGAAAGACAATGGCTATCTTGATTTTGTTCTTAATCAGTTGTCTAAGTACAGATCCCAAGCAGTCATCTCACTACCACCATAAACAAAACTATGGGGGTTACACCATTTCCTGCTCTGTATCTTGATTGAAATTATTATAGATTAAACCAGATTTATCAGGTTTTTGCTGTACTTCATAATTCAGTGACTGTACATTACCAACCAAAAAAAAAAAAAAAATACATTCTGTAGCAAAACAGAAAAAAAAACCTCTAAGTTTTTCAGGAAATACAGCATCCCAATATTACATCAGGTGGCAGATGACTTAAG